CACAATGTCGATAATTTCCTCAGTGCTTCCTTTTCAAAACTAAGCTAATTACTGGCTCCTTAGATTATTCTCAACCAACATTGCATTGGAAGATACCATTGGCTGGTTATAATAGGCACTTACCAACAAGCTGCTCACTAATGTTCCTTCTGAGTTTTGATAGAATCAATCTGTTCCTCACCTCAATAGCATCTTGGTTTAAACAAGGACAAAAGAGTTTAAAATTAGAGAGTGATTTCCAAATTGCCACCAAGGCAAACCTTTGACCAAGTGTGCCATCAAGGAGGCTGAGCGAAATGCAACTCAATGAGAATCCAGGGAAAACTCTCCACTGGATGGAATCATACTGAACACAAAGGTGGCTGTAGTTTTTAGAGATCAATCATCTTAGAATGTCACTGCATAAGTTCCTTAGTTTAACATCTTTTGCCCAACTACCTTCAACAGTTTCATCGATGAACTTCTCTCACACGATTTTACCTCTCACAGAATTAATGTGAGGATTTTTGCCGATAATTTTACGATGTTCAACTTCATTTGGAATTTCTCAAAAGCTGAAACAGCCCATGTGCAGTGTATCAAGAGATGAACACTATGTGGCAAGTAACACTTGCATTAAAAAGTGTTCGGTAATTATCAATTCTAACAAGAGGCAATGTGGTTATCTTTCCTTGGCTTTCAATAGCATCACCATCACTGGAACTCTCCATCAACACTTTGGAGAGTAGCATTGAACAATAAATCAACCTGTCCAGCCATATAAATACTGTGTCTACAAGACTGAGTTAGATGTGAGGAAATCTGTAGTGAATGTCTCATTTTACGTCTTTCCCAGGCTGCTCACTACCTAAAAACTGCAAATAAGGACTGTGTTGGAATAGTTTTCTAATGGTTTGTGCAACAGAAATCAAAAACTTTCACCCCATCAAGGACAGGCAACCTGTTTGATTTGCACTCTGACCATTACCTTGAGCGTTCACTCCCTCTAACACCAGTGCACTATCCCAGCATTTTGCACCAGATAGGAGGTGCATTACAGAAATTCACTGAAGATTTTCAATAGCATCTCCTCAAAGCTACAGCTTCAATCATCTGGACAGGCCAGTGCAGAAGATACATGGAAACACCCACTATCTATAACCATGCAACATCCCAGCTTGGAACTATATCGCTGTTTTCTCATCACTGGTATATCAAAATAGTGATCTGCCGAGCCAACATCAATGCGAAAGTAAAAACCGAAAGAGCTGCGGATGCTCGAAATCAGAAACAAAAACAGAAGTTGCTGGAAAAGCTTCTGCAAGTCTGGCAGCATCATAGGAGAGAAATCAGTGTTAACGTTTTGGGTCCAGTGACCCTTCAGGACCTTTTCTCTCCACAGACGCTGCTAGTCCTGCTGAGTTTTATCAATGTGAAAGTACTGTCATATATAGACTACATCAGTTCAAGAAAGTCCAAGATCATTCCAACAGAAACTGAGGTAGTCAGTAAATGCTAATCTTGTCAGTATCAACTGGAATGATATTTTAAGATCATATTTGTATTGAATTCTAATTTCTATTGCTTTGCACACTCAAATATGTAACAAAAGCAAAATTCAGTGGATGCTGGAATCTGAGTGAAGAACAGAAAGTGCTGGAAACACTCAACAGATCAGGATAGGAGTAGGATGAGTTGATGTTTGGATTAGTAGCCTTGTTTCCATACCGGGAATGGTTAGAAATGTTATGGGTTTGAAATAAATACAGAGAGAGGGAAAAGATGGTGGTTGGGTGGAAGCAATGAACAGGAAAGTCAGCAGGAAGGATTCAATGACAACACAGTATGGAAAAAGAAGGCTCCTGACCCGATCTGTCAACTTTCCTGCTCCTCTGATGCTGCCTGGCCTCCTGTTTTCCTCCAGCTCCACACTGTGTTATCTCTGACTCTCGTATCTGCAGTTCTTGGAAGGATTCAATGACAAAGAGGATGATAATTCAAGGCAAAAGGAGATGGTAATGGGGCGTTTACATATTTAAAAATACTAGAGGAGGCACAAATGGGAATTGCAAAATCAATATAAACAGTTACTCTCTGTGTAAAAAAAACTTGTTTCACTGAGTTCTTTATTTAGAAAATAGAAACATGGAAAATAGCCAACAGCAGTAGGCCATTCAGCCCTTCGAACCATTCAAAATGCTGATCACGCAATCTCAGTATCCCATTCCCGCTTTCTCTCCATACCCCTTGATCCCTTTAGCCACAAGGGTCTCATCCAGCTCCCCCTTGACTATATCTAATGAACTGGCCCTAACAGCTTTCTATGGTAGAGAATTCCACAGGTTCACAACTCTCTGAGTAAAGAAATTCTTCCTCATCACAGTTCTTAGACTCGTGACCCCTAGTTCCAAACTTCCCCAAAATCGGGAAAACTCTTCCCACATCTAGCCTGACCAGTCCAATCAGTTTAGCTTTGGGCTATCCACTCCAATACCCTCACTTTTCCTGTGCTGATATAATTTTCCGTGAGTGTCTGTATCTAAGAAATTGATATAAATTAGTAACAGTCTCCTACAATGTACTCCCCATCTCCTCTCCCACTCTAACATTGCTGCTCTAACCGGAATTGTTTCCCACCCATCCACCAATTTCCCTCAGTTTCTCCACAGCTTTGAACTTAACTGGTAACATGTTTCTAAGTGAAACCTTATGAAACACCATTTGGAAGTTGAAGTTCTCAAGTTTAATGTACAACAAGGATTCAGTTAAAATGATAGAGAACAGCCTTGCCTACATCCCACAAGATAGAATCACAAAACATCCATGAAACCAGCAACTAAGAAAATCCCAATGTTAATTTTCTCCATTGAGAATGAAGTTAAAACTGGATTACCGATTCTTAAATCCAAAGCTAATTTCCCTCAAATCCTCCTGCCCCTGGGCACAAATTTAAAAGCACAGATATGTAATTTGTCATATTTTCTTTCACAATGGTGTGGTGTCTGGAGGGCTATGGTAGGAGCAAAATGAAGCAAATTTCTCAATGGTCTTTAAGCCACGGCAAGACAGCAAAATGACTGAAAGGTGCAGAAGTCTGTTCCATTGCCTGTCACAAATTGACTCACAGACAGTAAACCTTACCTATAATTGAAACAACTGCAAATCACCAGCATAAAGCAATTTGAAAAAAAATCACGATTTTCTATTCCATTTGCCCTTGATCTTTTGCAGTTATTGATTTTGAATTTAATACATCTTCTCCTTCTTTGATTCAATTCATCCACCTTCTTGCTATTTATTTTGCCTGATTTGTCCCTTCTGCATGATTTAAAATCTGATTTCACCCCACGAGGGTGTAACTCTGTCTGGCCCTGTTGACCATCTGGACCAGTGCTTTCTAAATTCTTCTCACTGTGACCCCATTGGAATGGCAAACATTGACTGGGACTTCTTTATATCGCTCCATGGGATCCTCCACATCTAAACTGGCAGAGAGGGCCTCAGTTTAATGTGGTGGTATTACATAATACTGTTAAATGGCAACAGATTATCTGAACATTGTATAGTCATGAATTTTCTACAGTTGCTGCACAGGCACCTGCATATATATTTGCCACATCTATTTCTTCCGTTGCCATTACTATCTGATCAAAGAAAAGTGATAGAATTGATAAAGTGCAATTCAGAAGTATGAAACCCTTCTCTGATTCTATCAGGTTCCATATTTCAGTTAGACATTCAATATTTCTCCTGGTTAATATGCAACCCATTTCAATAGAAAGGCAGAAGTGGGCTACTAGTGCCCAAAAGACAGCACCAACAAATCAATTGGGCATGCGGAGGTCCTGCTGATCTTAATGGAAGAACAACATTTAAATAAAACTGCTCAGACTCTCTGTTAAATTGTTGTGATATTTGTGAAGATTTAGGAACTGATATGAGAATGTGCACCTGGGGTGTCAAACTTACTGTGACATTAAATTTCAATGCCAAGCAACAATGTACAAGTCTACCACTGCATGGAGAACTTCAAAAAATGGGGAAGGTGATAGTCTAGTGGTATTATTGCTTGACTGTTAATCCAGAGACCCAGATAATGTTCTGAGGACTTGGATTCGAATCCAGCCACGGCAGATGGTGGAATTTGAATTTAATAAAATACCTGGAATTAAGTGTCTAATGATGACCATGAAACCCTTGCTGATTGTCGGGAAAAACCCATCTGGTTCACTAATGTCCTTTACAGAAGGAAACTGCCATCCTTACCTGGTCTGGTCTACGTGTGACTCCAGACCCACAGCAATGTGGTTGACTCTGAACTGCCCTCTGGGCAATTAGGGATGGGCAATAAATACTGCCCAGCCAGCAACACCCTCATCCTGTGAATGAATAATGGAAAAAATGCATTCAAAGTTGTAGCTTCTTGAGGCTAAAATTGTGCTTATGTTTAAAATTATAGGAACCAGAAATCTTGTGGCAATGAGTGTTGGTAAGTAAGACTGAAAGAGTAATCCAGAACCCCAAGCTAATATTCTGTGGTTGTAGGTTTGAATCACACCATGGCAGATGATATTAAAAAAATTCAAAAATATTTGAATTTAAAGTGGAAAAATAAAACTGTCCTAATGGAGACCACGTAACTGTTGTCAATTGCTATGAAAGCCCGTTTGGACTAAAGTCTTTTAGAGAAGGAAATTTGTCCTTTACTGGTTTGATTGATATGTGACTCCAGAACTACAGCAATATGGTTGAATCTTAACTGCCCTCTAGGCAATTAAGGATTCTCCACAATTTCTCTCAACTCACTCTGTTTGGATTCAGTGTTATTTTACACACCTGTACGTGTTCTTCTCCCAGCCTATTCTTTCCCAGAGAGAACAACAGGTTTTTCTTGTCTATTAATGTCAATGAAGTGTTTTGATTGATTCTTGAGATGTGGGTATATCTGGCTGGGCCAGAATTGATTGCCTGTCTCTAATTGGCCTTGACAAGCTCACAGTTAGCTGCCTTAAACCACTGCAGTCTGTGTGATGTAGGCAGATTCACAATGTTGTGGGGGATGGAATTCCAGGATTGTGACCCATTGACACGGAAAGAAGACGATAGATACGTTTCCAAGTCAGGATGGTGAGCGGCTTGAAGGGGAACTTGCAGATAGTGGTGTTCCCATGTATTTGCTGCCCTTGATGTTCTAGATGGAACTGATCATGGGTTTGGAAGGTGCTGTCTAAAGAAATTTGATGAATTTCTTCATTTCTGTGTCAATTCTGGAACTATTCATGTGAATCTTTTCTGCACCCTCTGCCATATCTCTAGGAATTGGATATAATATTGATCATGAATCAGTGTTTTATTCGGGGTCACTATAACTTTCTTGCTCTTCTCCTTTATGTTGCCTTGATGCTGTACTTTCTCAGCCTCACCGTTGTGGAGGAGGTGGCCTTGGAAGTGGTGAAGTATCAGGGTAGCCTACAACTACTGATGGTGGGACAGAACGTCCATCTCAGGAAGGTGAAAGTACAAGTGCAGATGCAAAACCGTATGCATGGCTGATGTAGTGCTCATGTGACCACCCTTGGACACTAAGTGTTTTTATTCTTTCCTACAGGTCAGCCTCAAGTAAAAGTGTGCAGAGCTCAAGAGGCTGGGGGGAGGAGGAGGCGGAGCAGGAAGGATCTTCCAAGGATTCAGTGTCACATCGGTCTCTGTCACACACTGCCAGCCCAAATATTCTCCCATATATACAAATTTGTGTATATAATGTCAAATTGAAGTGAAACAGCCTTTCAACCTAGTCAACACACGTTGTTGCAATTTACTTTTAAAACAGATGATCTTTTACATTGTCAAGGGTAAGACTTGAAAAGTAAGTGTTGCTAAATCATGATGGCATCTGGAAAAAATATCAAATCAAACTGAACTGGAATTCTAAGAACTTAGCCCAGCAATCCTTCATTTTATCAGCAATCTGAAGGTGTAGATATGTTTTCAGACCAACACTGGAAGACAAATGATGAATGATGACTATATTGATGAAAAATCTTGGGCACTGGGAATTTAGAAGCTCCAAGAAAACTGAGATGGCCTCATAACAAGTGACCCACTTTCACGTCTCATTTTTAAGACTGTCATTCCCTCCAGTGTCAAGTAAATCTTTTAAGACTGAAGGCAGTTGCTGTCTAACAGGAATCTGAAAAACGAAAGATGGATGAATATATCTATTAAGATTTACATAAGTAGCACAGAGCATTAGTGCAAGGAATTACAAGAATGTTGGAATTCATAAAAGGCAACAACAGAAGTAAGAAATTGTCATGAAAATTCAAGTTAAATCATTTGCTGTGAACTTGTCAGGTAATCAAAATAAATTATGGGGGGTTAAAAAACCAAGCAAAGTACTAAAAGTAGTTATCTTATTGAAATTCTCTTCATCCTGATCGAAAAACATTTGGTCACATATTATTTACAGCAAAGTATTTTAAGAAAGTATGTCTCAAAGGATAGATTAATTTATCATAAAATCATAGCAGGGACTCTCACTTGATACATGTGCAATTGGGAGACCTGGTGCCAGGTATTGTAGCTCAATCATATTCCTGTCAAGAAATATTCTCTGCTAATGTAGGGTGGATGAACTTATAAAAGACGTTACATTTTGTTTTTGTATTTCAGTATAATGGAAGGGTTTTAAGGCTCAGACAAAATAAGATTGAGGAAAAAACTAGCCTAGGAGTAGGGTATGCATACACATTGTGAACAAGACAATAGGCCTAATAATGTTCTGGTTTTGTCATATTTATAAGAAATTAATAAGGAAGGGAATGATAGAATCATATATTAACCACAGCTTTTCAAACCAAGCATTTAAATTAAAATCTTGTCTACCCTCTCAAGTAGACATTGACAGTCTCTAGATAATTTTCTAAAAAAAGGTGTTCTTGCAGTTATCCTGGGCAATTCCCATAACCATTACCAAAGGAGATAGCCTGGTTATTACCTCAATACTGTTAGTGGCAACTTGCTGAGGATAATTTGGCTGCTGGGGTTTCTACATTGCAGCAGTGATGACACCTCCAAAGTACTTATTGGGCTGCAGAACACTTTGGAACTTCCCAAGAGTACAAAAGGTGTGATGTGAAGCTGAATGAGGAGAGAAATACCCACATACTGTGTATAATTCTGTTTCTGTAGATACCAGATTAAGCTTTTTGACAAATCTTGGTTTCGCATTTCCTCCCCTGGTAACAGCTATTATCTGAATCTTGAAACCAAATTTTTCTACAAGGGGTGAGACTTAATTCTTCAAGTCTGCAGCCACTGGTCCAGGACTGTTGTTGGATTTACAGACATGTCAGAGATGAACCATCAGTGGAGGTTACAAATTATTGCAGAAAGTAAAATGCTGGTTTTATGAGAGGACAAGGAATGGATAATAACTCCCCTGATATGGCTTTTGTACAAGTGTCTGGAAGGTTGTGGTGTGGCCAGAGACCAGCTGCACAGGGAGTGTTCTACACAAACAGGTCAGAAGTTCATTTTACTATCTATTGAGGCTATGTGCATGGTCTATCTCATGATATCCATTCAGGACATCACAATGAAATTATAAGCTTGTCATAGAATCAGAAGTGGTGGTAAAATCACTCCACATTCATAACGTTGACCAGTTTTAATAATTTTGTTTGCAGTCTGTTAAGAATAAGGTTTCTGAAGTTTGGTGCCAATTGTTTCAATTTGGTTTTGTTTGCCCCTCATACTATTAATGGCATTGATGGGAATGACTTTTTCAAGTGACGTTGGAGAAAGGGACAGATGATGAAAGGACACCCAATAGATCTCACAGCATGGAGGTCACATTCTTATAATGTCACCTGCGCTCAGGGGACCGGGTATGTAGGATGCAGGGTGGGACAGAGGGGTTGTAGGAGGATAGGGGTGGGGGCTACAGCATAAGGGTTGTGTGTGGTGCTGCAGATCTCTGATAAAGGGAGGAGAAGAATGGAGTCAATTTGAGGCATTACTGGCATTGCAGTAATGTATGGATAAATGGATCCAGGTGAAGTTGAACCAAGGAATGGGGAGCAACGTTTTGAAAATGAAATTGGCTCTTTCTATTTGAGGTCAGATACAAGTGCTCCTCCTAATTCCATGGTCTGGTAACTTAATTTCCTTCCTGGTTGTCACATGCTTCATTGGGTTGGCTGTTACATCTACTGGCTAAACTGCTGTTGAAGCAGGGTCTCAGTCCAGTGTTTGCCCTTTGTTTGGCTGCGCAAAGCCTGGATACAGGGTGCCTCTTAGAACATAAAAACATAGATCGCAGAAAACATTACAGCGTTGAGGGACACCATTCATCCTACCCTCTCTGATGTGGCTGTAATAGATCCTAATCCCACCTCTTGTTTGCGCTTATCTGCAAATTTAAGAATTAAGAGCTCTCCCTTTTAAGACCAAGATGAGAAGAAGGGTTTTCTCTCGGAACATCATTAGAGTGTGGAACTATATTTCGAAGGAGGTGGTGGAGGATGGTCTTCAAAACCCAGGTTTGGGTTAGATAGAGTTTTGATAGACAAGGGAGCCAAAGGGTTATGAAGTCCAAACAGGAAGGTGGAATTGAAATCACATGCAGATTAGTCATGATCCTGTTAAATAATGAAGCATTCACAATGGGCCAAGTGGCCTACTTCCGCTCTTAGTACTACTTCCCAATGGTTTTGATCACTGTAGCCAACATCTCAGGCAGCAGCCCTCAAAGGTTCAGGGCAGGAAGAAACATTTCTGGTCAAGAACAACAAAGAAGAACTGTCAATTAAATGAATAGTCACATATCTATCCCTTGCTCAGTCTAAACTGATGTCTTCTTTCTCACTGTCAGAATCATGTGATCATCATCATGATTTACATGAATCATATTGTAGCACATCACCCACTTCACCCCGACTCAGGTTTCTCTGTATTTGGCGTACATCATTCCAGTCACGTTTTCTAATCAACCTGTTCAGAGATGCCATTACACATGTCTGGAATAAGCGGGACTTGAAACCAGGCCCCCGGGCTCAAAAGTAAGGATACTGCCGTTGTGCCACAAGAACCCTCATTGTCTTTTGTTATTGTTAATATCAACATCATTTTTACTGTTATGACCTGCTGCTGATATCACCAGCTCCCACAGCTCACGTATGCTCAGTGACTGACCACTGTGGTACCCAAATTGCAACAGTAGCATTTTTGGTCTTTGGCAGGTTTCAATATGAGATTTGACTTGTCCAATATTACCATCAGTTGGGAACATGACAACCCTTGTTTAAACACTTATTTTAATTAATAAATCTCTGCTTTACACTTACCATTAACGTTATATTTTTCTGATTATTAGATGCCCAGAATTCCAGTAATCTGGTTGTGTCTGATTGAAATCTGCATTCGACTGATTAAAATGGGATTGAGTTATATCTGAGCTTTTGTCTGTGTGCTTGGATCCTCATTGATTACACAAGTTTTAATCCATGGGCTGAACTTTCCCATCTCTTTTGGAGATGATCTGTGAGAGCAGAGTCCAGTGATAGAAGATGTAACAAAGTGAAGCCTGCAGTTGTCTCAATATCAAAGCACATTGCCAGCCGCAGGAATCCTAATGTTATGGCCACCCACTAGGCACCCAAACAAACTCTTTCAATGTGCAGTTAAGGACCACTCCCTGTATTTACAGGCATTTTACACTTGTCCAAAGGGGGCACTGCTACCACTTAAACTTTGGTTGTCTCTCAAAGGATTGCTGACTAGGGGTTGTGGGAGTGACCCTCATATATGACCACTTGGGGGCTCCACCCCTGCTTTTGACAGCACCCTTCAGTCATACCCTGGATTGCCAACCAGGCCCCAGATGTTCAAAAAGTATCAGACCTGTTCTTTCGGGTTGCTTTGGCATTGTAGCACTTTTTGCTTTTTGTTGCGGTTTCAACAGTGGCCACCATTAGTGCCAACCTGTTAATTGGTCAGTGGCAACAAAAGTGCCATCCATGTCCACCTACTTCCTGGAGTGCAGTCACTCCTGGCTTACCGCTCAGTGTCATCTGATAATCATTTCCTCACAAAACACGTAATACCATGTCACAATGTGCCAAGTTGTAGACCCTGACTGGTTTGGATGCTGTAATTTGCAGCATATCCACAAAAAGCAACTGCCACTCCTAAACTAACAGAGAAAATTCCAACAAAGCAAGGCAACAAATAAAAACTATAGGTACAAATGAGTCCTGGCTTTCGGATCACTATGTTTCGACGAACTGGGGTGCTACGTGAGACCATGTAAAATCAAACACCTTTCAAACATGTCTTACTATGCCCAGCCCCCTTACCATTAAATTCCAGCCATAGCAATAGGGTCTGGGGAAAGAAAGAAGAAAGAATGTCTTCGGTCCATGACCTCAGGATATTTCAGAATGCATTAAAGCTACATCAACATCATTGCGCTGTGGAAAATGTGGAGGTGATTGGAGCACAGCAAGAGCTCATGAAGAGCAAAGATAATGACCAGATAATCTGTGTTTATTTTAATGCAGTGTCAGTTGAGGGGATAAATGTCTGCCAGTAAGTCAAAGAATTAGCAATGAGATGGCAGCTGGGGCCTCGGTTTAGTATTTCATTTGAAAAATATTTCCTCTGAGAGTGCAGCATTTCTTCACTAATGCATCAGATGGTCAGGCTGGATTATGTATTTCAGTGTCTAGAGTAGAACTGCAACCCAACACCTTCTAACTAGGAGGGAAAGGTGATAGATTGGCTACAGCACACATTGACTGAGGTTGGGGTGCCGTTTGTACAAACTTGAAACTTTTACACACAATATTCATAAGTGTTAGCCTATTTCTATTGTGACAAGTTGTAACAATTTGGGCGTTTGTGCCAACAAAAGCCCCGTCACAACCTCATCGCACTAGAAATAAGAATTTTTCACCGTTGGAAATTAGTTGTGATGAAAAACATGGGAGCAAATTTATGGTCTGAATAATGCCATTGGGCTGAAGCCAATGGTGTATTAACATTTCATAAGTACAATGTGCATTGAAGCAATTGACACACCATAAGTCAGCCTTTGTAAATGCCCTCACCCCCTTCCCTAAATTGTCTGTATGCATTGATGCAGATGCTAAGAACAAATCCATAGATTAAACCGTTTTCATCTCATGACACAATTCTCAGCTGGTATACAATCACTGTCAACATGCTTATTTTAAATTCACCTTTCATTTATGTCAGAAATTCAATAAACATTCTGCAGTTTC